AAAAGTCAGTTTTCATCAGAATGGTCACAATTGAGATAAATGCATGGGGAGATAGCGCGTCATTTGCTCTTTCATAAACAATAAAAAGTTTTCCTCAATACCTTGCTTTTCTCAAAAATTTTTTCAAGTTTTCCGAGACCTCTATTCGAAAAGCCAGCGGTTTTTTGAAAAATCACAAAATCTTTTTCGTTTTTTCTCATTTGTTCACTATCTCAAACGCACATCCGAAACTTCTCTGTCCAGATCCGTCCAATATATTTAAATTTTTTTTTTGATTGAAAGAACATGTAAAGATGCGGGGGCATGACAAGGTCCGATTTTTTGAATTAGATCTTTTTTCGTTATATATATAGGCATTTATATAAATTGACAGCACTTTTTCGAGAGTCTTCTCAGTCATCAAACTTTCGATTCCTTTTTTGCGCTCGAAAAGTGGGTATTTAAAAAATCGAGCCTCGTCATGCCCTGCATCTTGACATGCTCTTTCAAACAAAGAAAATTTATATATATTGGACGAATCTGGACCGAGAAATTTGAGACGTCAAATCACCTATTTTTCACTCTTGTTTGGTCAATATCTCCCTTAAAACTGATGATTTCTGACTGAAAATTTTGTCATAGCTTTCCCACTTCAGGCCCAACATATCATCCAATTTTCAGGCCATTTGGACCTTCCTGGGCTGAGATCAATTTTTCAGAGGGGCCTTAAGTTCTTCATAATCTGTGAAAAAAAAATTTTCATCAAAACAACTATCGTGGTGGTAATAATTCTTAAACTACTAACAATCACATCAATGAGACGTATGATTACATACAACGCATCATGTTTGTCAATCAACAATATATGTTCATCCTTTTGATTTCTCATAAAAGTAAATATAACGATTGATCGGAGTATAATACCTATTATTAACAAGATTATACCAAATAATTCCCATCATAACATTGTGATAATAATAACATAATATATCACTATTCTATTGACAGAAATAAAAATTAGCAAATAGCAGTTTACATATCGATTTTATGCTGCTTATAAGTATAATATTATCATATCACACATTGCAATACTAACTGTATTTGTTTAGAGTTATGCTTCGATGGCAACAATGCATAAGCGCATACACCTGATTTAGATTTATGGCATAATAATACTGTCCTGCGGAAATGAGTCTTTTCCGTTCCGTTTTCCGCAGAGACCTCGAACGGAAACAATATTTAAAAATGAGCATTTTTAAAAATTGGTTTGTTTTATGGGTATACTACAAACTTGGTCTTTCAAACAAAAAAATGTCAAGTCAATGCAATGTTAATATCGTTGATAAATAGATTTCGACATTCTGTCTAGGACTCTTTCATCGCGTCTTAATTAAAAGAAAAATAATAAAGATTAGACAAACTTATTCATTAACTTCTAATTTAATTATCATCTTCAAAAGTACTATTATTCAGATTATCTAGCAATATACCATAATTATTATATTCTCCTCTTGAATGTTTTCACTTTTTCATCAATGTTTTTGATGCGCCAGTATTGTTTTTCTCTTTTCAACTGTTTAAGTGGTGAAGTAAAGAATTGTTTTAACTTGAAGTTGATAAATCTGGACGTATAAATAATAATTGATCTATTTTAATAAAATGTGCCTCTAATGATAATTTTATTTTTAAAATAATGCTATCGCATGCAGCACAAAGTGTGACGTTCATAGAAACCATAGTCTGGTAGCGAGAGTTTTTCCTCAAACACAAAAGGTGAGATCGTAATAAAAACTTTGAAGGCATAATAGCAACAGAAACGGCGGACGAGAATAAAATAACTTTTCACAGGAAGCAGGAATGGAAATTAAGAAAAGTCATTCTGGCAGAAGACAATAACAGTCAAGAATAATGCATAAAAATTTTTTGTGATTTAAAAAATTTCAGCATTTTTTTTTTAATGATTAAGCAATTTTAATTTAATACTATTCATAATAATGAAAATTTCTTTTTTTATGTTCTATCGAAAATATAACGGTTATCTTTTGATACATGCATAGGATTAAGCAAAAATTCTGTGAATATTAAATAAAAATATAAAAATAAAAATATATTTTAATTTCATTTTATTAAAGGTGCAAGATAGGTGCCATGATTGCGTATACAAGGTCGTTTATTTTCACCAATTAGAAGATATTTCATTAGTTTCGATCTCGTTTTGATTTTATTGATATCTCTAAAGTGTCTAAAGGTAGAGTGACACTAAAGCTACATATTTGAACAGTAGGATCTAAACAATAATTCAAGAAAAAATAGTAATCCATTTATATCAACCATAAGAAAATTCTACGTTAGAAAAAATATTGAATAAAATTTATCAAATTATTTTTTTTTGCGTTGTTTTATATTGACATTGAAAATAAAATGTTAGTCACTCACCAAGAGTTACTTTTGTCGCTCTATTATTCTTCTACACTATGTATCAGAGAGAAAATTCGTTTTTGTAACCATGTCAGAGACAAAAGTATTGCAACATCATGCTTGAATCAGTGTAACATTAAAACACAGTGACTATATGCGAATTAAGATGTACCACGAAAAGTCATTTGTATACGGAAATGACACGAAGTTAACCAGTGACTCTAACTAATTCACTTAGCGTCATTGCAACTTGAAAAGTTCTAATAGAATTTATTTTACATAGATTTTCAAAGTTTCTTTCCAATAGAGATCGTTAAAGAATAACAGAGCGACAAAAGTAACTCTTAATGATTAGCAGCTATTTTTTCAACCCAATATGAAAAAAGTAAAAAGAATGATTTGATAAATTTTATTCAATATTTTTACTAACGTAGCATTTTCTTACGGTGAATGTAAGTCGATTGCTATTTTTGTTGAATGATAGCTTAGATGCAACTGATCACATACGTATCTTTAGTTGTGATTCTACTTCTGGACATTTTAGAGATATTAAAAAAAAAATAAAAACGAGATCAAAACTTATGAAATACCCTTTGTTTTTACTTTTGTTTGAAATATTGTTCGACTGATAGTGAGCACATTTTATGAAATGATCTTAGTAACAAAAAAAAAACATTGTCTTATTTAAACGAAAAGCATGTGTGTCTCAAAAATTTCAGTGTAAAGAAACAAAATATTTAATGCATTGAATTTCATCGATCTCTCAAACCATGATACAACAGTACTATTTTATTTTAAGCATGCATAATGAAAAATCATATGAAAAATTTTCATCTAGTAAACAACATCGCATTGGTTTGAGATATTTATAGCTTTTCAATACACTATAATTCAAATAATCTAAACTGTCAGAATTTGCTGTTGAATAATCTTTTATTCATATAGAGACAAGCAAATTAACAACTGCAAATAGATCTTACTTGAAAATTATCAATTCGGATATCATACATCTTATGAGGAATTCAGTATTTTTTATTGCATATTAATTATATAAAAAGACAGCAAATCTTCTAACTTTCTTGCTATGAAGTAGATGACTTTTTGACAGCCAAAGAATGATTTTCTTATATTAAATCTAAAATTATAGACTGAACATTGATTTCAAAGACGAAGAATAATAATGATAAATCTAATGTAATTATGATGTTTCTTTTTTATTATTTTTATCGTTTTTAGTTAAATATTAAAAAGACAGTCTTTATTTACGTTCTACTGCTTCAATTGTAAATTGGGAAATCTTGATGGTATTTTCAAGACGCCATATCCAGTAATTTTCAGAATGGTTTTCTTGTGACATATTGCATAGTGATTTTGATGATTCATTTTGCAAAGCTTTCAATACAGGATTGAGCTGATCCAATAATAGTTTAAGGTTGCATAATGAAAATGTTGTTTCAGGTGATGTTGAAGTGTGATGAGAAGGTATTGTTGTAATTGATTCTGGTTGATGACGTAGATATGAGCCATTTTGATCATTTCCATTGTTGCAATGTGTTGTCATTGATTCATCTGGTTCTGTTTTAATGACAATCATGTTTTGAGATCGAATTTCTAATAAGCTATCGATCAAGCCCATAATTCCTTTCAATGGTACAAATGTGCGACCATCTTTTAAATAAACCGTGTCGATCAGACTCATTTGTCTATTGCAAATATTCGATATACTGTTTGATAATGAAGTCATGATGGTACTAATGCTATTCATATTCATATGAAAGGTATGTTTCTCTGATAATATACTGTTGTTTACATGTTATATGTCTTATCAGTTACTAATAGGCGTATTAGTATGTCTGGTAAGAAAAGTCAAACCATTATCTTACGTAGACACTCAATGAGTAAGAATCACGTTACATTTCTTTTCTTCATTACTGTTAAAAACAGCATTTCATTTAGAGTACAGGCTAGGAGTTAGGAAACGAAATATTACAAATTCTCTTAAGAAAAAATGCAAATGTGCCAATAGGAAAACTGATACCAACATGATCGATAAAAATTCCATATCGTATCTTTTTCATAATACAACATGAAATCATGATTGATTGAAAAATCAAATTTCAAAAGCTTAAAGAAATATTATTCAAGAATCAACATTTAATCAATGAAAATCAAAATCAATTGTTGCAATATTTATTTATGTTCTCAAATGATTCGAGAATATAAAGAGTGTTACATAAGTTTCATCCCTATTTTTATTTTTCTTTGTATCTTCTCAATGCTCAAACATTAAACGACATTAAAGGTATATGTTTGAAGAGTAGCATCTAAGCTACTATTCAATAAAAAATAGCAATCCATTTACATCAACCTTAAGGAAATGCTACATTAGTAAAACTATTGAATCAAATTTATCAAATCATTTTTTTTTGTTTACTTTGTTTCATATTGACATTGAAAATAAAATATTAGTCGCTCATCAAGACTAACGTACTGTAACTTCATGTTCGAACCAGTGTAACATTAGAGCACACTGACTACATGTGAATTAAGATGTACTACGAACAGTCATTTGTATACGAAAATAACACCAAGCTAGTCAGTAGCTCTAGTTAAATCAATCGGTGTTATTGCAACTTGAAAGGTTTAAATAGAATTTATTTTCCATAGATTTTCAAAGTTTCTTTACAATGAAGAAAATTTAAAGAATAATAGAGCGACAGAAGTAACTTCTCATTGAGTGACTGCTGTGTTTTTTTTCAATCCCCATATGAAATTCTTAAAAAAATTGATTTGATAAATTTTATTCAATATTTTTACTAACATAACATTTCTTATGGTTGATGAAAATCGACTACTATTTTTGTTGAATGACATTAAGATGCTACTTTTCCTATGTCTGTCTTCAATGTTGAGCCACTTTTAGATATCGCAGTGATATAAAGAAAATAAAAGCGAGATTGAAACCTATGAAACATCCTTTATACCCAAACTAGTTTGAAATTTAATAAAGTATCGATTAAATTTAATATCGATTTTCAAAATTTCTTTTTGTTGGAATTTGATTTTATCTCAATGAATATTTGAACGAAATCCAGAATATATTTATTATATATATAAGTATAAACAAGACATTCTACTATTTATTCTTACAATAGATTCTTCAATGTTAAGTGATTTATAAAATTGTCAGCAACTTTACCACAACGTTTAGTTAGAGCTAAGTCTTTACGTACATATATTTTGCGTTTTGTACTTAACAAGAGAAATACAAAGTGTATGGGAATGCCTGAATGTTGAAAGACGTATTTGTGTTCAAAGATCAAGTCGTATTTCGTAATGGAGTATCCGATAACAAGTGTCGCTGAGTACGTGTATTGACGAGTCTAAAGAATTTAACTCCATAAATAATTTCTAATGATTTATTTGATAAATATTTTGGTTTTTTAAAAAGTATGATTATGGAAGGATCAACTGAAAAAAAATGATGCGTTAAAGAAACTCGACGGCAGTTGATTTCATCATTATAAATTCAAGGTAACGCAGGCAATTGAAGGTTATTCTATTTCAATTTCTTTAAGCAAAATCTATTTTGTTAAATATTAAAAAATCATTTTTTTAAAATTTTTCTTGTTTTTCTAAGTAATACGACAAAGATGAACCCGGTGATCACGGACCGACTGAATGATTGCATATCTTTCTCGGTCTTCATCACTGCAAAGCAACTAGAGATTATCTAGCCATTTAATGTTTGGAAAATTCTTTTAAAAATTCGATACAACAATAAATAGGCAGCGAAATATTAATACTATGACTCACAGAACATATGTTTTTTATAGCCATTGTACAACATGCTTTCCAGATACTATTGCCATCTATATTCACATAAAAAATGAAAGATGTGTCATTCAATTTATTTTTTTTATGAAACCTAATCAATCGATGTCGATCTAAAATAAATTTCAATGGATGATTCACATACATTAACAATTCTAGTTTTTTTTTAAATTTAATTTGATTCGTAGAACGTTCAGAAAATAAAGACCATAGGCTAAACCTATCCGAATGCATATATTAATTATTAGAAAATTTCTTTCATCGAATAACAAACAGACAAGATAAGAAAAAACAAAAAAACGAATCAATATTTTGTTTTTTTAGATTAGATGGATTCATCAACATCAAAAAAACTTCCTCATCATCGTTTAAGTTCTTATAAATATCATGGTAAAGATTCTGATGATAGTCGACGTCGACGAAATCAATATACTGTTTCACTCCGAAAAGTATTCATTTTTTAAATTCCAAATATACAAAAAAAAAATACAATTTTTTCTCTTCAAAATTTTTATTTAGAATAAACGTGATGAACAAATACAAGTCAAACGTAATTTTCCTGCTGAAGATAGTATGTCCGATAAATCTGAAGATGATCGAGAACAAAATCAATTTTATAATCTTGATGATCTAGCTATAAAAGCTAGAAGTGAAGATTCAACAATACGTTTTGAAGCTATACGTTCAGCACGAAAACTCTTATCTATTGATCGTAATCCACCAATTGATGAATTAATCAAATTTAATTTTTTACCTATATTTGTTCATTATTTAACATATGATCAATATCCAGAATTACAATTTGAAGCTGCATGGGCATTAACCAATATAGCATCAGGTAATTCACATCAAACACAAGCTGTTGCTGATGCAAATGCTTTGCCATATTTATTACGTCTTTTAAATTCACCACATTCAAATGTATGTGAACAAGCTGTTTGGGCTTTGGGAAATCTTATTGGTAAATAGCATGAAACAAAAAAAAAAAAGTTTTTTGTGGTTTTTTATGTTTTATTGTAATTTTTTTTTTTTTTGAATATTAAAATAGGTGACGGTCCAACATTACGTGATTATGCTGTTCAGTTAGGTGTTATAAAACCATTAGTTGAATTTATTCAAAAAGATATTCCTGTTTCATTTCTTCGTAATGTAACATGGGTTATTGTTAATCTTTGCCGTCATAAAGATCCACCATTGTCTTTAATTGCTGTACAAGAAATTTTACCAGCTTTAAATTATTTAATTGCATATACAGATATTACTGTATGTACGAAGATATGTTTTTTGTTTTGAGAGGAAGAAAAAATGTTTTGTTGTTGATAGATTCTTGTGGATTGTACCTGGGCATTAGCTTATCTACTTGATTGTGGAAATAGTATGATACAAGTAAACAATTTAAGAAAAGAAATATTATGATGATGATGATGATATTATTTTAGGTTATTATTGATTCAGGTGTGATACCACATATTATTAAATTATTAAATCATAATGAAATAAAAATTGTTACAGCTGGTAGAGTTTTGTTATTTTGTTTGTTTGTTTGTTTATTTTATTTTTATTTTTATTTATGATTTTAGCATTGAGAGCAATTGGAAATGTTGTTACAGGTACTGATGAACAAACACAACTTGTTCTTAATCATGGAGCACTTGGTTATTTTCCCAAATTACTCAAACATCAAAAAGATAAACTTAACAAAGTAAGATTTAGAGTAATCGTGCGTTTTTTCAAGTAATCAAATAAAAAAAAATTTGTAAGCTCTTGTAAATCTTCTGGTTGGCTGTGGATGTAGATGATGACGATTTCATCATCTCTTGAAATTTTGATGTTACCTCTTACACTTCTGATTTTCTTGACATGTAATAATAATCTTATCAATACAACAAAAGACGATGAAAACAAAAATTGAAATCAAAAGCTATTATTATAGCCTTGGATAATCTCACATATTCTAAGTTGATCGACAGCTATATACAATAATGATAATAGATCAAGGTTCTTTTCTAATGACACATGCTGCTGTTTTTATTATATGTATATATACATATCTACAAAGAACAGGAATAGCAATATTATTGTCTATTGTGCTGATGATAGATACTAACCTATTGCATATCTCTATCTGTAATTATCTCACACACAGAATACAAACTTATAGCGAAGAGAAAAATGCAACAGGGAGAGACAATAGGAAGCGAAGAACAAATGAAACCATTAGTGAGAGAGTTATATCAATATTGATATATTAGATATCCGTACTTTATCACAAGAATGAACGATTGGGGGCTACTTTTTCTGAGGTCATGAGGGTTATTTCAACCAGACCTATCTTTTGATGGCATACTCAAGGAAGTTCCGAGGTCACCAAGATTGAAGTGATGAGGATTAACTTGTGTTGCTTGCACTGATGGACAAAAAAGAAAGAAGAACATCGTCCAGTTTCGCTGGGGGAAAACAAAAATTTTCCAAGATTGGAAGGATCATTTGTAGAGTTCAACAATTTCGAAAATTATCCGAAACCTTGAAATCATCAGATAGATATGAAAAAATTTTAATTATATTTTGACAAACTTGCTCTATTGGATTTCTTAAGATTAAAGACATAACATATTTCATTACTTAAGCAAAACAATCTTATATATATATATATACTGAAATGTTTTATCTCATGAATAAAAAAACAAATGAAGATTTCCAAAGATCGATTTAAGCATTACTTTATTTATTTGATAATTTAACAGTTGCACTTACAGTTGTACTTGAAACCATCGAACTCTAGTCATCTCCAATCAGAATATCAGTAAGTATATCAATGCATCATACAAAAGTCTTAGTTCTTCAGAATCAGTTTATTCTTAGCTAGATCTTTGTCTTCACTCGGAACTTTATTCTTTACATTTGATGCTGAAAGCATGTTGTGGTATTTTGACTAAAATTTCGAAAAAAAAAAACTATCTCGAAAATGATATTAACTATTTCATTATGTATAACTTTATCAAAAATACTTTTTTTTCTTAAATTTTCTATTTTCATTTTAAGGAAGCTGTTTGGTTTCTATCAAATATAACAGCTGGTAATCAGCAACAAGTTCAAGCCGTAATTGATGCCCAATTAATTCCTGATGTTATTCATCATTTGCAATATGTTCGTATAGAAAAATTCTTTTTCTCAAAATACATCATATATTTATATTAGAGTGAAATTCAAATACAAAAAGAAGCTGCTTGGTGTATATCAAACTTAACGATGAGTGGTTCAAAACAGCAAATACAGTATATAGTTACACAACGTGTTATACCTCCTCTATGGTATAATGAATAAATAATTTGTTTCTTTTTTTCTTTATATTTTTAATTATCAACTATTTCTAGTAATCTGTTACAACAACAAGATACTCAAGTATTACAAGTTTGCCTTGATGCTATTCATAATATACTTAAACAAATACCAGAAGAAAATCTTGAAGCAGTTACAACAGAAATTGAAGAGTGTGGAGGTATTTAATAAAAAAAAAAAAGTAACCTATGTCGTTGTTATCGATTATTTCATCTAGGTCTTGATAAAATTGAACATTTACAGACACATTCAAGTAGTGATATATATCAACAATCATATGAAATAATTGAAAAATTCTTTTCAAATGAAACTGTAAGTCAAAAAAAAAATACAAGCTCATATAATAAAATAAATTGAATAATTTTCTTTTCCGCGTAGGATGATGAAGATATTTCATCAATGAATCAAGCACCAACATTACTAAATTCTAGTAATGAATTTTCATTTGGAAATATGAATACAAATCAAGCTGTACCTGATAATAATAATGAAAATAATGCACATTTTCAGTTCTAAAATATTCTTTCAGTTTATTCATTTTTTTTTTTGTTTTTATATTCGATGATTGTCACGACAAAATAAAAATACATTTGTCCATTCGTATCTTTTACTGTATAAAGTGCTATTATATTGTTTCTGAATTTCAAATAAAAACACAAAATACAATGAATTTTATTTTTCATTTTGTATTCAATGTGAATATTTAAACTTATGGCAGAGCCAGAATAAAAGTTTTACGAGAGACTTAGTACTCGGTAGAAGCTGTAAAGTAGGGACTATCAGAAATGTGCAGTTCCAGTATGAAAAATGGAAAAACTGTCGCTGGTATCACTGAACTCTGATCATACTGCATCAGTGCACATTGACACGCTGTTGATGCTAGGACGCCGACATATACCGGTATAGATATGTCTAACATATCAGTAAATGTCGCTGTCCCAGCATTGTCAATATGCCAATGCGAACTGATGCAGTGTACCCACTTTTTCAGTGCTCACTGAATCGGGAACGTCAGTTATCAATAAACTGAAACCGCACAACTCTAAGTATTCTCCTCACCTATAATATAAGATCCTCTTGTTTCTAAAGAAGACTAGACAGTTCTCCAGCCCCACCGCTTGTTTAAACCAGTGGTAGAGTCTTCATCGCTTTTCATCGACTCAAAGGAGATTTCGATCAATATTCTTTAGTATAATTCATTGAATGAATTTTATTGCCATCTATAAGAAAATTGACACATTCTTTTTTTTTATTATTCAGTTAGTCAATAGATGTCGCTTTTACTCATGTAAAATAAATTTAAATGAATTTGTCATTTCATGACAAAATCCTTTCTTTTTTTTATATACGTTTAGTTTGTGAATTATTTTTAAAAAAATCCATTGAAAGGCATGACTAGAATCCATTAATCATTGGTAGCTAATAAAACAGCATAAAAGCACATCGAAAGTGATTCTGATTGGTTTTTATTTTTTGTTTCATGTCAGTTATTTGTTATAGCTATTGAATTATGATTAATTGAGTGCAAGATATTTTGAGAAATTCTTTTATCGCAATCAAATTAATATGTTTTTCAAACTTTTAGATAATAATTTGATAGAGTATCATTGTACTATTCGATCATTAGATAAATTTATTTGAAAAAATAAATGTATCTATGATTGTTTGCTCTTGTTTTTATGATAATTCCTTATTATCCATTATGCAACTGATAAAAAGTTTTTCCAATCTAAGAATTTCTTATTCATACATTAGCGATGTATAGAGTAAGCTGTTCTTATAGTCTTATCATACTCTAAGGATCTTTCACCTTCACCCTATCTCACGCAACAGGATAGGTAAGATATAATTACCCTGCAAGCTCCACTGCACATTTCTTTTGCCTTGACCCTATCTTGCCACGCACAGTTGTATCATACACTTCCGTTACCTGTATGTGTGATGATTGCATAGTTAAAATCTATGCTTTCAGTTTGCTCATTATTATTGAGTCATGCATAGAAGCGAAAAATTTTTTTTTTGCTACTATTTTGAATGAAAGCCATTAACAACTGTGTATGTGTGTATTCTCTATTTGGTAATTTCAATAAATAAAAATTTTTAGTTAGATATGCTTTGTCTTCTTTTGTAAATTTGATTTTCTTCGGATTAATGAATTTTAATGTTCTAATTTTTTTTCTTTTCCTGTATATAGTATTGAATCGAAAAACAAAAAAAAATATTTCTGAAATTATTTTTTTAATTATTTAATAGGAATTCTCTTTTAAATACAAAATATTTTGTTTTCATTCATTTGTTAATTTGTACATGAAATGGTAGTAAGTGCTGGTGGTGTCGAAGTGTCTATAATATAATATGCATGTCTTAATTTAAGATTTTGAATTTTTAGCTGATATTTTTTTGAACACTGATTTGCTTTTTCTTCTATGAATTTTGAATTATATGATTCATCTGAATAATAAATTTTATATAGTTCTTTAACTCGATTTTCATCAGTTAATTGATCTGAAAAAGTATATAGATTAAGTTTTTCAAAATTAGTTTTTTTTTTTAATATTCATACTGTATATTTCTTGTCGTTCACTGATATGATGAAATGTTGAAAAAAATTCATTTGGAATTTCATTTCCATGATTATCTCGAGCATCAGCCATAAATTGACATGCAAAGTAAAAAATTATACCCATCCCATAGATTCCTATATATATTATCATAAAAACTGAAGCCCCGAAATTTCCAAATAAAAAATAACGATTTTGTATATCTGTTGTTGTGGAGCAATTCATTGCTAGAGCTAACTTCTTATTTTTTTTAATGTAGTTTTGTAAAATGTACGCAATTGAGTGGAAAATGACACAGCTTGTCGACTTTATGTATGCATTGGAGCATCGAGCAAAACGAAACGAAAAAAGAAAAAAAGATGTATTACATAAGTAAAAGAACGCTTATATTTTAGATGAGGCCATCTATGAAACGTACAATAATCACATCAAAAACTACAGGTCGACGATATTTTTTGGTTCGATCTTCTAAAGGAGGATCTGCTCGACGATATTATGTATGTTCAAGACCAGATTGTGATTCACGTTTAACTCGTGAAGCTGATTTTTTTTGTCGAGTGTAAGTTTAGAAAATTAAAAAATCGATTTATATGCCTATTAATTTTTAGTCATTCACAAGTAAAAGGCTCCGAAAATACAGATATTGCTGATACGTCAACACAATTGGATGATAGTATATAGAATTTAATTATTTCATGATTATATAGTTTATTTTCTAGTTGATGAAGACAACTTAAATGATAATGGTGAAATAGTTGATGAAGACGATTTAGATGAAAATGATGAATTAGTTGATGAAGGAACACCAACACAGGTTAGACTAAATTGAAGTTCCTTTTTTTTTATGTATTTTAAATATTTTGAAGGCACAACGAAATACAACTATGGATTCAATTGATGAAAATCATCAAAATGGAGATGCAAATCATGGTACGTAAGATTTTCCTTTTGAAGTGTGTTATACGAAATTATATTTTTATTTATCTATTAAAAAAATAGACGAGAATAGCGTGAATATCGATACTAATCAGAAATACTGTCTAGAAACAATTTCGAATAGTTCGATCTGTTTCCTTCAAATAATAGAAAACCAACTCTTGAAATATAAATGTATCGGTACCAGTATTATATACATCTACTAAGCCAATACTCTTGTTGGCAGAATTAAATGTAATAAAAATACTGCTACTACTGCATTCAGTCTTTGAATTTAACTAATCACATGAGATTCCTACACATAATTACAGAATCCGAAGACTGGCATATACTGCCGAAAAATTGAACACAAGTACAAATTAAGAGTGTTCGCTTTTTTTTTTTATCTATGATAGTTTTTTGTTCTCAGAACACAGAGTATATCGTGTTATGTTATAAAAAAAAAGCAAAGTAAAGACAAGCTAAAATTTTTTACAATGCTTCTTGAAAGCGTAATCCAACCAAAACGAAACGCTGATATCTCTACAGTTCTTTATAAGGAGAGAAAAACTAGACTTCAATACTCTAAAATACAAATTTAAATACAAGCGAAGTACCGTACTTCATTTGTACTTGACTCATTCTTCTCAATACTGAAATTTCGCTTTTGAACCCTTACTTGTTTCGTACTTGCTCAAACTCATACTATACTTGATGACCCCGAGACCAAAATAATCTAAGTACTTCAGGAGTTTAGCTTTCCATCTAAAATGAATTGTATCATATTAAAATATTATCTGCATACTTACGATCAACCATTTTTCAATGTAGACATTTATTCGAGAATTTTTTAATAACTCTTAATGTAGATTCAACTATTGAAGATGATTACCATGATGGCAGTAATGATTTCAATACTTCACAAACACTTTCGTCTAGACAAAGAGCTAAGGTTAGTTTATTTATTCATATGAAGACAAAAAAACTTGTGTTTTTTCAATTATTTAGGCAAATCGTGAAATTCATGTAGATGAAACAACTGGTACACGTAGTTTTCGTGACAGTTCAGGTCGTCGTCGATATCTTTGTATGCACGAATCATGTACAAATATGCTCAAACGCCAAGCTGATATTTTCTGTCGAACGTAATTATTATTAAAAAAAAAAATTTTTTTTTCTATTATTCCAATCAAGGTTTTCAATAAGCTACAAAAAAAACATCAATCTGTTGATCCATTGCTTTTATTAATTTGAATATATATAATATAATAATAATTTTCTTTTAGACACGCAACTAATCATACGAGTGTAAATCAAAATAAAAAGAAAAAAGGAAATCATAAACGTTACTCAGCACCACCATTGTCTAATGAAACACAAGATCATGTTCGTTCACCATTATCAACTACAACAATAACTACAACATCAACAAATCAAAATAGTACAAATGGAAATCATTCAGAAGAATATGAATCACCAGAAAAAGTAAAATATGATTAATTAGTGTTTTTATATTAACTTATTTTTTGTTTTCATTATTAGTCGCCGGAAGTTACAAGAACATGTCGAACAATTCGAGATGCATCAGGAAAAATACGTTTTATTTGTGCGATTCCATCATGTACTAGCCAAGTACCTCGAAAATCACAAGCTTTGTGTAGACGGTAGTTAAATTTTTGTTATAATAAATTATTTCTAATGACAATTATAGACATCTACTTGAAGCTTCAGCTAAAGAATCGGAACAAAACAAAGAATCAACTACTACAAATGATGCTATTAACTCTAATCAGAGTAAAATTGTTTTCTTTTTTGTTCATTAACATATCAATTTAAATAATAATTTTTTTTTATAGAAGACAACGATGTGCAGGAGATGGATGTGAATGTAAGACAATGAAAACAGTTAACACTACAAAACTTCCTAGCAAGATTAAAAATTTAATTACTCACAGATAGTCAACTAAGGTTCCTTAGAAATCGTTCAGAACAATTTCATTCATAATTTATCAATTGATACGCATGACAGTAATCATAGTCAGCATTCATATATTGAAAAAAATGTTCTGTGTAACAAATTAGCCAGAAAAACAGCTCATTTTTTCTTTCAAAATTCAATTAGAGAATAATTCTATGATAACTCATAGCGTCATTCGGTTGTACACACGAAAAGTGAGACATCAGACAAGCATGCTGAACAACTAGTATTTTTCAAAACTTGAAAAAGAAAATTCATCTGTTTCCATTGTCTAATTATATAGGATGATAATGCTAAAATTAAACAAAATTGCACTATGAAAGAGTAATCAATCTTCGATTCGTGAATTTCACTTCTTCTCTAGCAACACTCAAGGAATTATAGAAATGATATTGACGAATTAATGGATACTAATACTAAAAAGATTAGTTCGAATTCCAGTAGATGTATGAATTCGAGATAAACAAGATATTCTCGATCTTGTCATGACTAGTACCAATGCTTTTTTAAGTTAGGTTTTTAGAAATATTTTAATCAAGTTTACACATTATTTTTTCATATTTATTCTTCCGTTTTAATTCGAAAAAATAAGCAATGTTCGTATGATCGTCAAAATAATCTCAGTTAGCAAATTTTTACTCATATTTAAATAACTACAAAGAATACGAAAAAAAGTTGATAGCTTTCGAAATAAGAACAAAACGCAACTTCTCAGGTTCCTAATCTGGATGCTAATGTTCGATAAGCCTTGAATTTTTGTGACCTGACAAAACCCTATTGGATCCGATCGAATTCAACTTCAAATATTTTTCGGATCTGATAAACTCTAGATCCGATTCAAGTCGGACTTTGATATTGACTATTTTTTTTCTTTCTATTGAGAAAAACCAATGTCTCAATCTTTTTTCTTCCTTTCATTGCGCAGTTAGAAATAAAGGACATGACGTCCTTGATCTATTCTTGTCCTTACTAATATTTCCGATAGCATGCAGTTCGGACAATATGCTCATCTACTATTTTTTTTTCTTGTTTGTCCTTCTTTACCTATTTATACAATCCGCGATTTTTATGTCGCCATTGAATATAAAGTGCACTTGCTATCTATTTTTGTTCCATATCAATCAAGAAAAGATTGTGCAATATATAGCTTCTTATTCTATGAAGGTTGTCTACGCTTTCTTTTAAGAGCTTTTGAATGCAAAAAAGATACTCGAAATGTCTCGTGTAATCCACAAACATTCAAACTGTAGCTAGATTCAACTTGAAATCTAAAAATTTATTCGTAATCAGGTCCGATCCAAGTCGGATACTGACAGATCCAGAAAACTATCAGCTTTACGTTTATATACACTAGAAAATAAAGATAAGCATTGTTTTGTGCAAGATGGTTTTGATCCCGTCACGACCAACATCAATTCTTGTTGGTTTCGGTTACAAGTTTGACAGTAAAATCAATCCTTTTTTCATAAACAGCACAATTTTCGAACATACAAACTCACAGAATATTCAAAGTATTGATGATAGTACAAGTTGTAAGGAATCTTCAAGAGGTAGGATATTTGATAGCACAAAACCAGAACCAAAAATTTTCTCTGCCCTTTACCAAAAAATGATTGATTCTACTCATCACTAGATAGGCATTCGGACGATAGCAATTTAATCTCTGATAACACTGTTTTTTTTTGTCTTCTAGCATAATAATACTGTAACTTCATCTGGATCAACTTCTAGTGAACATTCAACAAAAAAACGCAAACTTGAATCCCAAACTTCGCAATCTAAATCAATTATTCTTTCAACAATTCCTGCTAACAAAGTAACAATTACCACAATAAATATTTTCATTCTCAATTTGTTTTTGTTTTCTTATTTATTCTCTTCTTATTCAGATTGTTGTTTCTACAACAGCTCTTCTTGATCATCAATGGGTAAAAACCATTTTACAAAAAAAAAAAAAACAAAGATCAATCTCGAATTCATTTTTAGATTACTGTTCTAACATTTCTTCGTCAGTTTCCTCAAGTTCAATTAGCAACAAATTTAAATGTTAATAATTCTACAACGCATTTACTTATTGATGATAGTGAAAATCCTTTACATTGTACCATAACAAAAAAAATTGTTCAAGCAGCTGCACGTCGTCATATATTTATAATATCTGTACGTTGGATAACTGAATGTATACGTTTAAATGAAATTATTGATGAACATCCATTTGAAATAACAAGTGATTCTCATACAACATTACGTTTATCAGTACAAGATTTTCAACAAAATCATAAATATTTGTTTAATAATGCATCATCAGCATTAACGTATGGATTTGCAATTGAATGTCGTCAATGCCAAGGTTCAATTAATCGCAGTGAATTAGTTGAATTAATTGAATTAACCGGTGCTAAATTATATGATAATGAAAATTCTATTGATATGTTAATTGTTTTATGTGATACCAATGAAAAAAATATAAATAAAATCAAAGAAAAATATCTTCATACAAATATATCAAATATAAAATATGTAATAAGTGACTTCTTACTTAAATCAATTATCAAATTTGAAATACAAGATATTGACAAATATTCATTATAAAAAAATAGAAACGGATATATGTAGAGACTGTTTGTTATCTATTTGTGTGTGTGTGTGTGACAAATAAATCTTTTGTGATCTTTTTCTCTTCTGTTGTTGTTAATATTGATCTATTAAAAAACAAAAACCAACACACAATAATAATATTATTTAGATAAATAATGATAAAAGATTTTCCAATTAAATGAAAGTCAATCGAAATACTTTATGTCATGTAGAAAGAACTTCGAGACTATGACTGGAAAATGACTTATCTGAGAGACATCTTGGAGAAAAAAATAAATAAATGGTATGTTTGACTTAAGAAAAGTTGCTTTCGCCTTGTTTATTGATGAGCACTGTTTTTTTTGATTTAGATGAAACATTTGAATAATAAGGTAATTTAGAAATTTAATGAGATTTTTGAAAATATTGCTTGTAGTAACAAGTGGGACAAAAGTTATGAATTAAATTTGTTTTCGATATAACAATTAAATGAAATGTCGAAGAGATTTCATTGCTTTTTTTGTTAGAAAAAGCAAAATGTCTACTACAAAAAAAAAAAAAATAAAAGAATTCGATTGGAAATGTTTCTCAAAGCCTATAAAAATTTTAGAACAAAAGGCATCGAAAAACTCTTTCGCAACGTCGATTAACATTTGTTTATCCAAATATTTTTGTTTAAACTTATTCATTATGCTTTTTCAGCGTTTTCGAGTATTCTAAATATACATAACTGTTTTTTTATAATGAAAACTTTCGTGTGTTATTAAAATAAGTGATCTAGTCATAATAGAGAATGGACAACAGAAAATTCGATCAAAAAATTCAATTTGGCAGATCTGGGATGTGCAACGAAAAAAAATAATGTTTGGCTGAATATCTAACAGAGAATTTGTGTCCTATTCCAAATAATATCATTTGACTGAGTACTCGATAAGCTTTCGGTTGCATGAAAAATTTATCGCTTGTGGGAACGTTTCTCTCGAAATAGACTTTATTCTTTTGACTGTAATCGACAGTCATGAAAAACATGGACATCAGACGATATCATAAAATTGTTTATTTTGAAAGTAATGAAACATGTAGAGAATCGCTTTTTCTTTTAATACACCAATAGTGTTCAATATCTACAGTGTACAACTCGGATAAGGCGAATAAATATATAATCAATTGAATTAGATAAAAACTTTTCTAAGTTTAAAAAAATTACGAAAGAGTTTTTCCGATGCCTTTTGCTCACAAAATTTGTATAAACTTTGAGAGAGATATTGATGCAGGTGTGAGTTTGGGTAAAGAAAAGACATCTAACCACATTAACTCCATACCACATCGATAACCACACCTTTGATTCTGATAAATACCTTTTAGTGGCAATAGAGACTGCTAAACACTATGGAATATGCCGAATAGTCATAAAAATAAGATTTTTTTTATGAGAAATAATGAGAAGAATTTGTGACTGATTTGAAATTCTTTGCTCTCTAAAATTCGAGTTTAGCTTCAATGTCAATAATCATAGATGATTAGTGATATTATATAATTGGATGAAAATTTTTGAAAATTGTGAGCAATTTAGATAAGATTACAGTCTAAAAGTTACCTTATTAGGTAAATCTAGTAAGAAATCATTCTATCTATCGACTATTATGCATGAAAATATTGAAAAGATACAATTGAACACAAATATGATGCATGAGAAGAACGAAAGGCATATTGTAATCACAGATTTAATTTAGTTGTTTTATATCTGTTATTGATATTATCGAATACAGTCTAGAATGTCCTTTTAAAAATGTCCTCGCATTTTCGTCCTACTTCACTTTCTTGTGAAGATGTTAAAATAAAATTAGTCCAGTATCTAGATGTCGTTGTAGTTCATACATATCGTATTAGAGATTTATATTAATTACATAGAGGTTTATCTCAAAATATAATGAATGAAGTAACAAAAAAAATGTTTTAGTACGATTTGTTATACCTATAACAAATTTACAAATAAGCACAACAATTATTTTTAAATGGAATCGTGTGATTCAATATCAACTGATGAAACATCATCATCATCATCATCTTTTTCTTCTTCAAAATCAATGAATTACTTATCATCATCTTCATCGTCAAAACCAACTGAATCATCATCTTCATTGTTATCAATTTCACCTAAACCAACAATTACAAAAACAACGTCAAATAAACGAAAAACTATGTTAACTATCAATGGTTATCAATATCAGCTGAAAAATTTCAATAAAAATAAAACAATTAAATTTCTGCGTTCTGCTAATAGAAGTTGTGGTGTGCTTTTACACACGAATCTTAATGATGAATTTGTGCGTTTTTCTGGAAAAACAACTGAACATTCTCATTTACCAAATCCTGCTGAATTGGAAATACGAAATCTTAAAGAAGTAATACGACAAAGAGTTGAAAATGAATTACCACCATTAGAAGAAATTGCTGAATAAGAAGTACGAAAAGGTTTATTGACAGGTAAAGCTCTTGGTGTTTTACCAAATATAACTAATATTGGTATGATATTAATATTTGTATATGTAACATTAACAAATATTTTTGCTTTTCTTTACTCTCCTCTTAGATCATTCTTTGGTATATATACGTCGAAAAATGATTCCTCCTATTCCAAATTCATCGTCTTTTATTATTCCGGATATTTATACAAAAGATTATCACAATCATCATCGTTTATTACTATATGATAGTGATGGTCTAAAATTCTCACTCGATCAATCAGAATATATACCACCTTCAGGAAGAATTTTAATTTGGTCTTCAGATGTTCAATTGAATTTATTATTTAAATTCGTTACTATAAATAAAATTAATTTTATCAACATTATTCTAAACTGTTTTTGAAATTTTACTGAAAGGACATTTTTTTATATGGGAGACATTTTTTAAAGGAGATTTTTACTAGGGATATTTCATCTGAAGGACATTTTTTGTGAGGACAAAGTATACGAGGACATTTTTTTAAAGGACGTTCTAGACTGTTACCGATATTATCTACCTAATATGTTGTCCAGTAATCTCTGAAAGCAGATGTAAAGATACGTTTCATATTTACAAATGTCTGTGCCATTTGTATTTTTCGTCAACTCTCATATTCACTTAGCCAAGAGATTGTTCTTCACATGTGTGATCAAAAACTTTTTTCTATAAAAAGTTGCTTGGATTCTTTCATTCTAATTGTATCCTAATATATGAAAGAACAAAAGCCTATGAAACATGTATATTATTTTTTTAGATTATTTCAAAACTAACAATATGTCGACACATATTCGTTTATTTTTTATGTATCTTATGGCTACTTTATATATCATTGCTGACATTGTTCATTTTTTAACACCCAACTTTTATCTTTCAATTATGCCACGTTAGTTGCCATATCATCTTGAACTTGTTTATTTATCAGGTGTATGCGAGATCATTTGTGGTTTAATGTTATTTTTTAAACGTACACAAAAATTAGGTGCTTGGCTAACTATTGCATTATTTATTGCTGTTTGTAAGTTCATTTAATGAAAAAAAAATTTTTCTTCTTTTTATAATTGATATATTTTTGATTTTCTAAGATCCAGCTAATATTGAAATGGCACAAGATTTTTGGTCAAATAATCATCCACAAAAATATTTAACATTAGTTCGTCTCAGATTTCAATTCTTTTTCATTTGGTGGGCATATCAATATACAAAATCAATTCAACATTCTAAAGTACATTAGCAACAGAAAAACATGATTTTTGATTTTCTTTTTAACATTAATTTCAATTGATTTCACTTCTTTTCTAAACCTGTATTTGTTATGGTTATGAATGAATGAATTTGTTGATTTTGATTTTATTTTAGATAAAATAAATGTTTGTGTATTTTGTATTTGTTAATTTATGTTTATTCTCAATAAATTTTGCAGACGATCCCAATCGATTACCGACGAAATGTGAAGGTATTTTGAAAATATTAACTTAATCATATGTTTTCAAACATACCCGTATAATGAATAGTAGTATCCTGCAACCAGATCTGGTTCTTGATATGATCCCGCATCCAGATTTGACCCAACAATTAATGAGATTTCGATGTTTTCAATTTTTTTACTTTTTCAAACTGCTAATTTATATAAAAGCATAGGAATGAAAATTAATTCAATCTTGATTGCGTAGTTTACTATACTTGAGAACAAATTAGCGATATTGTTTTGCTAAAAGAACAAGTAACGTTCATCGACATTCAATGTCGATTCTCTTGGCCCTAGACTGACGGAATAATGATCAAGATGTTCTTCTATTTAAAAAAAATCAATTCTATATAATGATGCGTTTCGGAGAAATTATTAATATTTGTAACATGTCCAATATTACATACTACCGGTATATTCAAATAGTTCACACAAAATATTGAAACACACTAATATATATGATAAAATTCATGCTTTAATTAATTATAACGACAAAAACAGGGTGAATTATGTCCAAGTAATGGCCATTTCTAATACGAGCATGGTCAATTGTGACACAGAAATGCTCATTTGAGCCATAAGAATGGTCAACTGTGCCATAGAAACAGTTGGTTGTGTCATGAAAACGGTGAATTAGGCCACACCAAAAGTCAATTGTATAATGAAAGTGACCAATTGTGTTAAATACATGATCATTTGTGCCACGACTACGTTACATTGTACCACAAAAATGGTTACTTGTACCATCACTATGGTACTTTGCACCATGAAAATGGTCACTTGTACCATCACTATGGCACTTTGTACCATGAAAATGGTCACTTGTACCATGATTATGGTACTTTGTACCACAAAAATGGTCATTTGTACCAAGTGTTACAGACAGACAGACAGACACAGGTGAATTTCCGTTTCTAGACCCTAGCATTTCAGTCTAGGGAATTTGTTTTTAATAAAAACTCATCTACAGATGATGATAAACCAATTGACGAAGTAACTATATACATCGAGAGGACAATGAATTATCAAAAAATTCAACATGTATACATTGCGTACCATTTCAACATCATTGACAACAAGCAAAACCATAACTGGCGAAATTAATCGGGTTTTAGAAGCAAAAAGACATCAAATGAATTCTGAATCATTTGTGTTTTTGTAGAATTTGAGATGATCTCTTGTCGTTGTTGCAGTTTAGGAAAGAAACTAAATAGTATACTTTTTCATGTAAAAATAAAAACTTGAAAATCGTACTATAACTGTGAAAGTGTTTCTCAAATGTCGATGCGCTCCGATCGAATATCGAGTACAGCTACTCAGATCCTGTTCAAATCCGTGTTTAACTATGATCACATCCGATTGCGAAAAGTTGACGATTAATTTACTCAAACTAATTTATTCATGTCCACGTAATACATCAAATATAACGTTCTTTATATTTAGTATGTAAATTGCTTGCTCAAGAATTAACCGAAAACTTCCAAGAACATAATAGTCCGAGTGTTATTGAAACTAGTTATTCACTTGATGCTAAACAACCCAAAAGGACTAAATATAGTGATTCGTATGTATCCTATTTAATTTCTTTATGTTGTTTATTTCATATTTCTATTTGTAGAGAAACACGTTTAATTGAAACGCTTGAAAATGTCTGTGAGCGATTTCTCCAATATAATGTTCACGCTGAACGTCCTGGCTCATTACGTTATGCTCGTGGTCGATCACAAACAATGGAAACTTTATGGAACTTACGGTCAGTTTGATTTTTATATTTACTAATTTCTCTTATTGAAATTTATAATTTTCTTTTGTTTTTTTGTTGTTTTTAGAAATAAAGGTGTGAAAGTTGTTCTTGATGTTCCTGATACAATGTGGGATGCACCATCAGCTGAAATAACTCAATTAAAAAAATATGTTCGTCAACTCCTATATATGAAGTTTTTTAAATTTAATTATCGTTTTCACTTTCTTTTTTGTTTTAGTGCGAAGAAATGGTTGAGGAACAAGAAGAAAATATTGAACAATGGTATTTTAATAAAAAAGTGCGAAATGAAATGCCACTTGAAAAATATCTTTGTGAAGATCGAGTATTAAAAAATCGAGATTCATCTTGTCTTCGAGAAGTATATACACCATCTAATGAAGAAAACACGCATACGCAATCAAAAGGTGATACTGAAAAGATTGATTTATGAAAAAAAGTAGTCAGTTTTCCTATATCTAATCGTTAAATGTATACTTTTTTGTTATATTAAAAGTCACTTTATGATGTTGATAAATGAATAAAATTTGGTACGTATTGATTATTGTTACATATCGTTCAATACAGAATTGAATAGACTACAATATGAACTAATTATATTATTGGCAATCGCTTTGTGATATAGCCGTTTAATCAAGATACTTCGAGAAAAGGAAACTTTCTAGGCTGAAAAAAAAACACTGTATTTCGAGTTTTTCGATTCTATACTGGAATCAAGAAGAAATATCACATGTGTAGTTTTGTAGATCAAGTTGAGCTCTATCAATTGGTATATGATTCAACTAGAAAGATGAAACTATGCGAAGAAAATAAGAGAGAAATTTGATATGAGGCTATACATAAAATAACTAAAATATTGTGTCATCGATCTATATTCAAGTCTGATTATCTCAGCTTTCGAACATTTTTAAAACAATGCTAAATATATGATTCGATGCAGAATTAAATGGATTACCAAATGAAGAAAAAAAGAAGTTTTTCTGGTAATCGTTCTTATGATCAAGACAGATGGACAAAATACTGGAAAACGGAGAAAATTTTCTATGCTGAAAAATACTGTATTTTGATATTTTCGCTTCTATATTGGGGTTAGAAAAACATGTCATATATAGAGTTTAATAGAACAAGTTAAAATCTATCTATTGGTATATAAATCAATTGGAAATATAAAATATTGTCTAGAAAAAAAAATTACAAATATGACTACGATCTGGCACTCAGAATAGGTAAAATATGGTGTCAGCGTGTCGATATTCACGTCGTACAATCTCACTGCTTGTACATTTTGAAACAATATCTAATATACGATTCGATGCAGAACTGAATGGGCTACAAAATGAAATAATTTTTTCTTTTGATAATCAATTTCTCTCTTAGATATCAGACGAAAATACTGATAAAATGACTAAATTTCATATACTAAAAAAACACTGTTTGTAGACTTTTCGATTCTAAATTGAGATCATAGAGAAATGCCATATATACAGTTTTATAGAGCAGGTCAAGCTCTATCGATTGGTATATGACTGAATTTGAATAGTGAAAAATTTGCGATCAAAACATTTCACAAAGATACAGGTCAATTTTTCACACCTTTTTGAGCTATTTTTAAGGATGTCGACAGTCGAACAACTGTAGCAAACCAGAGGTAACTCTTTAGATTGTAATATTTTCGATTCAATTATGGTAGATAAGGTCAGAAATTCTTAGGGGAGTCAAATCCAAAATCGATTGATCCACATGTTTTTCGATATTCAAAAATGTTTGATGTCTTCGTGGAACGTCTCTTAAGAGTATTTTTGAAATAAAAGGTACAAAATCATTCATACTCATCAGTTTACAGAATTATTAATGTTTAAAACATTGATTACGATAGTAATTTCTAGCATATGATGGGTTTAAGAGGCATATACTTCAGAGGAATCAATTATTCAAAATCGGTTATGTTTTGTTTCTATTGATTTTTTTTGGCACTAGATTTAGTATGTTTTTTATCTTCTTGAGTAGAATGTAGGGCAGATCTATTAAAGTTTGAAAGATTTGATGCATGTAAACAAGTCACTGATGGTTTTTCTGATATTCTCTACTATCAACTATGCAGATATATATATGTATTGCCGTCTATGACAACACAAAACAAGTAAGAATCAATTTATAGCAGACATTCTAAGTTCCTGTTGTTTTTTGATTTTTGAGAAATTGTGGATGACTTGTTCGATACCAATATAAATGATCGAACACACATATATCGTAGCTGATCTGTTCAAAAACTTGTCATCTGTAGCACTTTAAAGATATAATATTTTAAGCTGTAATAGAAAAAAAAGTTTTCTTATCTGTGGCTGTTGTTACGGATAACATTGCATAGATTTGAAAAGGAACTAATATTCAAGCTGAAGGTACCATTGCATCGAATATGATCTGAAATATGAATTACGTAGTTTTTTTAACTGACTGTAATGCATAGTAATAGTCGATTGAACAAGCACAAATGAGTATTGGGCTATTTCAATGTTAAACTCTACAGTCAATGATCAGCTTCATGATAGAAATAAAAGTCGTATTGCTCATTTCAGAATGTAAGTACTATGAACTTGGAAGTAGTGAAAAATGTACACCATTTGTTTCTATAAATCTAATAGAAGAACAATGATATTTAGGTTATAGAATGCAAATTTCAAAGTAGGAGGTAGTCATTACCTCCGTTCGCCTCTGAACACGCCACCCTTATAGTTAATTTTTTTTTATTTATTGAATTATCCTATTTCCGTTTTGTTTTATTATAAACTCAATGCTCTATCACACTTTTATTTTTTTTTCTTGGTGTTCACATGCGTTTTATTGTTTTTAATTAATTATAGTCGTTAATATGTAATCTTTTGTTGATTCTAGCCAGACTTTTTGCTGAGAAATGAATATATATTCGTTGATGTTTTATGTCTATGGCTTGTATCGATCGAATGATATCAAAAAGCAATTTCTTGTTATTGATAATATTCGAGTA